TCGTTGTTGTTTTCGTAGTACGAGTAGTAATTTCCGTAGTAATAATAATACTAGTAGTACTCGCGGTAGTAGTAGTGACAGTAGTAGTAATAGTCGTAGAAGTACTAATAGTCGTAGTCGCAATCCCAGTCGTAGCCGTCGGCTCGTAGGAGTAATGGTACGAGTAGAGGCCATACGAGCAGTAGCACGAGTAGTAGTAGTACGTAGTACGTAGTACCGAGTACACAGTACGTAGTACGTACTACGTAGTACGTATTCGTACTTCCTTGTACGTAGTAGTGGCACGTGATAGTAGTCGTAGTAGTCGTACAAGTGGTAGGAGTAGTCGTAGTAGTAGTAGTAGTAGTAGTAGTAGTAAAAGTAGTAGTAGTAGTAATAGTAGTAGTAATAGTAGTAGTAGAAGTAGTAGTAGTACGAGTAGTAGTACGAGTAGTAGTACAAGTAGTAGTACGAGTAGTAGTAGCCGTCGATGTAGTAGTAGAAGCTGTGTTGCTGGTAGTACATAGAAGTTGTAATAGTCGTAGTAGTAGTAGTAGTAGTAGTACTAGTACTAGTACTAGTAGTAGTAGTAGTAGTAGTAGTACTAATAGTAATAGTAGTCGTAGTAGTAGTAGTAGTAGTAGTAGTAGTAGTAGTGGTAGTAGTAGTAGTAGTAGTAGTAGTAGTAGTACTAGTACTAGTACTAGTACTAGTAGTAGTAGTAGTAGTAGTAGTAGTAGTAGTGGTAGTATTAGCAGTGAAAGTAGTAGCAGGAGTAAAAGTTGTTACAGTAGTAATGGTAATAGTGGTGGTGCTACTAGTAGCCGGAGCAGTAGCAATGAAACAATGAAACTAATAGTATGAGCAATAGTATTCGTAGGTAGTAGTAGTAGTAGCATGAGTAGTAGTAGCTGGGACTCCTACAAGGGCTCGTACTGGAATTTGTACTGGGAGCGCTCTTCTTCCTCCTCCTCCTCCTCCTCCTCCTCCTCCTGCTGCTCTTCCTCCCCCTCCTGCTACACTCTTCCTGCCCTGCGTGCGTTGCGTTGCGTTGCGCCGGGGGGGGGGGTCCGTTGCGTTGCGTTGCGTTGCGCCTGAGGGGGCGGGGGGGGGCGGGGCGGGGGCGCCAGCGAGTGGTTTCGTCATCATCCTCAACGCCAGCATCCTCATCATCAACACCAGCATCCTCCTCCTCCTCCTCCTCCTCCTCCTCCTCCTCCTCCTCCTCATCTTGATCATCATCTTGATCATCATCATCATCATCATCATCATCATCATCATCATCACCATCACCATCATCATCATCATCATCATCATCATCATCATCATCAGCATCATCATCATCATCATCATCATCTTCAGCATCATCATGATCAGCATCGTCATCGTCTTCAACGTCATCATCATCTGCTTCAGCATCCTCATCAGCATCATCATCATCATCATTATCATCATCAGCATCATCATCATCAATAGCGTCATCATCATCGTCATCAGCATCATGATCACCATCCTCTTCATGTTCCTCAGCCTCCTCCTCATCATCACTGACAAAACCACCAGCACACCACCACCATCATCAGCATCATCAACATCATCATCATCATCATCATCATCATCATCATCATCATCATCATCATCATCATTCCGATCATCATCATCATCATCATCATCATCATCATCATCATCATCATCATCATCATCATCAGCATCAGCATCAGCATCAGCATCATCAATCTCATCATTCTCATCACCATCCTCATCCGCATCCTCATCATCATCCGCATCATCAGCAGCAGCATCACCATCATCATCAGCATGCTTATCATCATCACCATCCTCATCAACATCATCAGCAGCAGAATCATCACCACCCCTACCGCCATCAACGACATCATCGTCTGCATCACCATCATCATCATCATCATCATCATCATCATCATCATCATCATCATCATTATCATCAGCGTCATCATCATCGTCGTCATCCTCATCCTCATCAGCATCACCATCATATCATCGTCGTCATCATCATCATCAGCATCATCGCCACCATCATCAGCATCATCATCACTATCCTCATCATTACCATCAGCAGCAGCATCCTCATCGTCATCGTCATCGTCATCATCATCCTCATCATCCGCATCCTCATCGTCATCATCATCAGCATCACCATCATCGTCATCATCAGCAGCATCATCAGCATCATCATCAGCAGCATCATCACCACCACCATCACCATCATCATCATCACCACGACAACCACCACAATCACCATCATCATCACCACCACCACCATCATCACCACCACCACCACCATCGTCATCATCATCATCATCATCATCATCATCATCATCATCATCATCATCATCAGCGGCATCATCATCATCATCATCATCATCATCATCATCATCATCATCATCACCATCACCATCACCATCACCATCACCATCACCATCACCATCGTAATCATCATCCGTGGTCGCATGGCTCATGCCAGTTGCTCTCAAACATTTGGGCACTCGCGTCGGCACGTCGATCCCGCCTGTGTGGAGAGCGGCGTGACTGGCGAGGGGTGCCGCCGAGTCGGCGGCAGGCGAACGAGAGGCAGATGCACCCAGAAGGCTGTGGGCTGCAAGAAGGGCTGCTCAGAGGTGTGCCCAGGCCTCGCGCGAGGCACACGTGAATGAGCTGTGGAAACAAATGGACTTCTGGAAGACCAGATGCGACGTCCTCGGCCGGGTGTTCGGAGACGCAGAGCTCGTCGACGGGCTCCTGCCGTCGTCCCAGTGCTGGAGAGTCGGCTGGGCAGGTGCCAGGCGGACGACTCGCTGCTGGTGCTGCGGAGGAACGTGGCGTTGCACGCCAGGAGAGCACCGCACCCGCTCAGTAACGCCCACCGCGCCGACCTCAAGAGGGCAGAGCGCGGGCCCCGCTTGGACCAGCAGGTGGGCGCTCAGAGTGCGCTCCCCACACAAGACCGCACGGCACGGGACGCTGAGGGTGAGCAAGCGGGCAGTGGCGGAGTGTGCGCGGACGTGGAGGGCCCTGTGGACACGCGACTGGTGCAGCACACCGCGAGCGTCGACAGCAACGGGAAGTGCGCCGACCTCGACCTGGTCTTCCTCGGCGGGGCGTGCGACTCGTCTGAGTGCGGCGCGAACACGGGGGAGCTCAGGAAGAATGACGAGGAGGCCCCGACGGTAGAGGAGAAGCTGCGCTGGCTTGCGCCACGATGCTCGAGCAAGAGACCACCAAGGCCGAGCTTGCTGGTGCGGCGGACGCGAGCGTGGCGGCCGACTGCGAGGACCCCGCGGGCACGGCGGCCCTCGGAGCGGCAGGTGGGGCCGAGGCAGAGCAGGGGGCGCCAACGGAGGATACGACCCAGGCGCACGACGAGGAGGAGCACCAACTCTACATCGAGGCAGGGCCACTGGCATTCTTCAGGGGCTTCGCCGGGGACGGAGACCTCGGACGCGCCAGCGAAGACGACCTCCCCGAGGGCGCGAGCTCGCCGCGAGTCCACGGCCAACTTTCGGGGCAGGGCAGGCGTCCGAGCGAGGGTCTGCAGGTGCGGCCACGGCGCAGAGCTTGTCGCTGCTGACAGTGGGTGCGAGTGCGGCCAGTGCGGCGCAGGCAACAAAATATGCGCCTTGCTATGTGTGCGAGTTGTGCGATTTCTCAGAGTGTGCTCGGTGCAGTCGCCTTCCGAGTGCGGTTCCCTGGACGTTCCTGGGACTGAGACCCTGGATCCCAATGCATGGCCAGGAACGCCGCAGTGTATTAGTTCTGACCTCTGACCCCGCTTCGGTCGGCCCCCTAGTCTAGAGAAGTATGCGCCGCCATTTGCGCCGCCTCTAGGCAAGAGCTCGCGAGTGGAGTGCAACAGAGGCTGATTGGGGCCCAGCCTGGGCCATCGGAATCGCTGACCCTGTGGCACAACATGATCACCATCATCATCTCATCATCATCATCATCATCATCATCATCATCATCATCATCATCATCATCATCATCATCATCATCATCATCATCATCATCATCATCATCACCACTATCGGGGATCAAACGGCCACGGGGATCAAACGGCCATTGGGCATCGATGCATCCCCCCCTATGCCTATCCCGCCCTATCGTTGCTCCCGATCCTTCCCCTATCACCCACCCCTCCGTCCGGCCCAAACGATTCTCGTCGTCTGGTTTTCGGGCACCGGGTGACACCACGGGTCTCCAGCGGCCGTTCGGCACGATGCGGGCACCCCCGGAGCGCTCCCAGCGAGGTGCAGCTGCTGCAGGGCATCTTAGGGCGAAAACGCCTGAGAACCTCGAACCTCGAACCTCCTCCCACCCCTGGCAGCCGCTACGATTTGTTCCATCCGCGGCCCACGAAAAGTCCTGGCAACTTCCCGCAAGGGTAGGTGGCCGCTTGCGCCCCGGATCCGTTACCGGTGGCCCCGGGGCCCGACGATATGGCCCCCGGAAGGCCGAGAACTCCAGGAAGGCCCACCTGCTGAGAAAATCGCTGCCGCAGATCTGGCCAGTGGCCCCCCCCCCCCTCCTCCCCCGGCCGCCCGAGGGAGCTGGAGGCCTCCCAAATGGAGTTCGAGCAGACGGGGTCGGAAGATCGTGCCGCAGCGCCGATGCATCGGCAACGTCGTCGATTCATCGGCGACGTCGGCGTGGAGAACATCGGGCTCCACATCGAGCCGAACCGCCGATGCATCGGCGACACGGTGCGATCCTCCGACCCCGTCTCGTCGGACCCACTTGGGAGGCCTGCAGTCGAGTCTGATTGGAGAGGACGCGCGGGAGGACACGAGATCCTTGCGAGGGCCACATTGCCATAGGAATGAAAAAGCATGGGCCGCGAAACGCAGAGCACACACGGCCACCCTTGGTTTCGCAAGGTCGACCCACTTGTCAAACTCCGCCGTAGGGGACCCGAGAGCAGCCCCAAGATGGCCCCCAGAGGTCAAAGGGCCGTGGTCATTGTCGTCCCCCTTCAGGGCCGGCGGCACTTGCCGCAAGGCCTTCGCCATCACACTCCACTGCCAGAAGCGCGGCCCGCCCCCGCGCTCCGTCGGGTCCCGCACGACCGCCGTGCGGCGCCCCGCGTAGGTGGGCTTTCCGGCCTCTGGAGCGGGGGGCGATCTCGGGCTGCGCGGCGAAGGGCCGCAACCCTCTCTGGTTCGGTCTTCGTGGTCGTCCACAGAAGCCTCCCAGATGGGGGTGGGTTCGGAGGATCGCGCCGCATCGCCTATGCATCGCCGACGCATCACCGATGCATCGGCGACGTCGGCGCTGCATCGGCGACGTCGGCGTGGAGAAAATCGGGCTCCACATCAAGCCACATCGCCGATGCATCGGCGATTCGGCGGGATCCTCTGACCCCATCTACTCCGACGGGGAAGTCCACGAGGAGGTTCACAAATCATGGCCTGAGGCATGTGCGTGGACGAGGGGGTGATCATGGGTTTTGTTGTTCCCAGCGTACTTAAGGACCGCATCCCAGAAATAATTTCGAGCACCCAGAAAAGTATCGAAACAGTGCAGAAAGAGTATCGCCTCCCAGGGCCCGATACGTGAAAACCCTCCGATTTCGGTATTTATTGGTACTCGAAATGATTTCTGATCGCCAAGGCTAAAGTAGGTTGGAACATCATAAATCATGGGACGTTTGACATTCAAAAAAGGAGCCATGAAATCTGGGGAAATATCGTGGCCCAAGCCATGATGTCCAGCACTGCTCCTTGTGAACACCCCCTCCCCCACCCGACTGGCAGCCAACCCAGACCCATGAGGGCACCCATACAGGCCTCCCCAACAATCCCTGTCAGCAAACACACTTCAAAATACATTGTGCCTCCAAGCATGGAGCATGCGCAGGCACCCCGCGACCACTTCGAATTGTTTTTCGACAAGGGCGGCGGGGGTGCCGCCATATTGCTTGCTGCGCGCAGGCCAACACCCACCAACCATCTCTTGCCCCAAAAAAATCCAAAGTGCACTGTGCACCAAAATCTGGATCATGCGCGGACGCCTCGCGCTCACACTGCATTTGTTTTTTACATGGATGGCGGGGGGGCGACATACTGCCTGCTGCGTGCAGACCCACCATCCCTTACAAAAAAGGAAAAAGGGCTGCTTTAGCCTGGGGCGGCGGGGGGCGGGGGGGGCATATTGCCTGCTGCGCGCAAGCCCACCAAACCAATGCAAAGCGATCGTGGGCGCACTCCCACACACAGCAAACCCCGTCACTAACACTGGTTTTCGACAGGGATGGTGGGAGGGTCGACCTGTTGCCCAATGTGTCGCACCTGGTACGCGTGGCGCGGCTGGCATATGCGGCGCGGGCTTCGCGCATCTGGCTGGCGTCTGCATTAGTAACCGATGGTTGTCGATGGCGGCCCCTGTCCATTCTGAAACTTGGGTGCTACTTCTATGTGCTAGGAGGGCGGGAATGAGCGAGGCTGCTTTCTGCTTGTGGGTAGCTTGACACACCCCGAAGCCCCCCTCTTGGATGCCCCGGGGTCTTGGAGCTCACTCCAAGGCTGTTGCAATCAAAATCTGCCGACTCTGTCGGCGTGGGGAAGATGCTGTTCTGTTTGACTCGTCGTCGTCGTCGTCGTCGTCGTCGTCGTCGTCGTCGTCGTCGTCGCCGTCGCCGTCGCCGTCGCCGTCGCCGTCGCCGTCGCCGTCGCCGTCGCCGTCGCCGTCGCCGTCGCCGTCGCCGTCGCCGTCGCCGTCGCCGTTGCCGTTGCGTTTTACCCTCCTTTCCCTGGGCCCGTCGCCGCTCCCCCCTTTCACTGGGCTCTCCTCCTCAAGCGAGCCAGCCAGAACGAAACCAAAGCAAAAATTGAGTGACGTCGTAGTTGGGTCGAAGGGAGGCCCCCCTTCCCTTTGATCCCTTCCCCTCCGGGTGGGGGGGATCCCGTGGAAGGTCCTGGTGGGGGCCCCAGGGGGGGGGTCTTGGGGAGAGGTCCTAAATGGAATCCTGGGGGGTGTCCCGAGGGGTGGTCCCGGGTATCCTCCCCAGGGGGGTCCTGGAGCCCAAAAGGCCCCAAGACAGCTCAAGAGGCCCCCAAGACGATCCAAGAGAGTCCCGAATCGCCGAACAATCGGTCGAAGACGCCAAAGACGGTCTCCTTGCAGCCCAAGCGGCTGCCAAGATGCTCGAAGAGGCCTCTTCAAGCACACCAAGGGAGGCCGAACAGGCAAAAACCAACGCTTGATGTTCTTAAGGTTTTTGAAACATTCAGGCGTTCTCGCCTTTTCGGCTTCCCGACGCCCCAAGACGGCCCAAGGATCCTAAAGCGACCCAAGAGGGCCCCAAGACGGCCCTAGAGGCCTCCCAGGCGGCCCAAGAGGCCCCTGGCCCAGAACGGCTCCAAGAGGGTGCCCACGCGGGAGCCCGAACGAACATTTCGAGCCCTCGCCCCCGAGAAGCTCCCAGGAGGCCCCCAGGAGGCCCCCAAGAGGCCCGCACGAAGCCCCGAGGCCCCCGGGCCCCTCTTGGGGCCTCGCGAAGCATCCCTGAGGACTCTGCCCCACGTCAGCGTCGTCGTCGCCGCCGACGCCGCCGTCGTGGTCGTCGTCCCCCCTTCAGGGTCCCCAGCACCAGCCGTAAGGCCCGAAGGATGCAAAATGCCCATGCGAAGAAGGCCCACCCTCAACGCCGGTTTTTCCTGCAGTGCAGAGAGTCGGCGGCGGCACCAACAAATACAATTCCCGTCCTGATGGGACGCTCTTGCCTGAGCCGCAGGATCTCTCGGCGCTGCCGTCGACCTCCGAGGCTCCGAGTTCGTGGCGCGATCCGGATTCTGGTCCTTGTCCACGCGGGCCCCTGACATCCGCCGGTCTCACCTTTTCCATCCGTGGCCCCAGAATGCCCGACCGATTCTCCGGGGCCGCACGTTCGTGCCGGATCCGTTTTTGATGGTCACGGGGCCCGACAAGGGGCTCTGGGTGCCGAAATCGAAGGAAAACGCCAGCATTGAAATTAACAACCCAGGGACGTAGATACCCTGGCGACTACACACAGGACCGCTCACTACAAATGAAATTGCTGAAGTAACTAGTGGGCAGGAGCATTCAGGAGTGAGACCTGAAGAGCGCGGAAACGGGGGGGCGCGAAGTCTCGACAGGGTGTGCGTACAACTCCACTCCGCTGGACCTCTCAGGAGCCGTTCGCAGACCCCACAGGGAGACGCGAGGTCTCAGCTGGGAGTGCGTGTCCCCTCGCTCCGCCAGGCCTCCTGGGAGCCCACGAAAGTGGCGACAGTTGCCCAATGTCAAGCAAGAGGAAGGCGCGAAAGAGGAAGAGTAAACAGAGGGGAACCCAGAGCGAAGCGGGGAGCGGGAGGAAGGAGGCACGATGAGGAAGATTGGGAAAAGGAGGAGAAGGGGGCGGAGGAGGAGCCTTGGACAGCACAGCGCTCGATTCAAAACGAGAACTCAACACAGGAGGGTTGGGAAAAATCAGCCGTCGGAAATCTGCGGCTCCGAAGCTCCGAGTTCGTGGCGCAGTCCGGATTCTGGTCCTGGCCTGACATCCGCCGGTCTCACCTTTTCCATCCGCGGCCCCAAAATGCCCGACCGATTCTACGGGGCCGCACGTTCGTGCCGGATCCGTTTTTGATGGCCACGGGGTCTGACAAGGGGCTCCGGTTGTCGAAGTCGAAGAAAAACGCCAGCACTGAAAATTACCCAGGGACGTGTATACCCAACCCTTTGGAAACATGTGGCGACTACACGCAGGACCGCTCACTGCAAATGAAACTGCTGACATACCTGCAGCGGGCAGAGGCGAGGGGAATCCGGTGCAGGCGGCGGCGGTCAGAGCGCGGCGCCTCGGCGTCCCACAGGCGGGGCAGGCACTGGCCCTGGCAGCCCTGGGCTGGGCCGCGGGCCCCGCGCGCGTGACGGGGGCCCCTTCCTCCTTTCACCTCCTCTCGTCGTGGGGGCGTCGCGGCGGGAGGTTCGTGGCCGGTTTCGGCCTCCGAGGGCCCTCCCTCACTGGGCCTCGGGACCGTCACAAACGTCCCGTGGTAAATAACGGTCCGTGGCAAAAAACAAAAACGAATGCGGAGTTATGGGCCCTCCTCGTGTTCCTCGACCTCCTCCTCCTCCTCCTCGTCCTCGCGCCCTCCTCCTCCTCCTCCTCCTCCTCCTCCTCCTCCTCCTCCTCCTCCTGCTCCTCCTTATCATCACCACCACCACACCACCACCACCCTCCTCCTCCTCCTCCTCCTCCTCCTCCTCTTCCTCCTCCTCCTCCTCCTCCTCCTCCCTCCTCCTCCTCTCCTCCTCCTCCTCCTCCTCCTCCTCCTCCTCCTCCTCCTCCTCCTCCTCCTCATCATCATCATCATCATCATCATCATCATCATCAGCATCCTCATCCTCATCTTCATCCTCATCTTAATCCTCATCTTCATCCTCATCGTCATCCTCATCCTCATCCTCATCCTCATCCTCGTCCCCCTCCTTGTCCTCCTCGCCCTCCTCTATCCTGTTCCTTATGAGCAACTCCTCCCTGTCGCACCCCCAGGCGTGTCGGTAGGGCGGGCCGGGCATTTCGTCTGAGACTTCCTCACCCTTTATGATCCTTACGATTGACATGTCAAACAGGCTTACGGGTCAAGGGGCTTCAAAATGTGACTCTCGCACTCGCCGCGCACCTTCGCTTTAGAGAACCTGCAGTCGATGGGAGTCGGTCAGCATCTAGCTCTCGCCTGAGCGCCGCGCACATTCACCTCAAAAGATTGCATCAACTTCACGGGTGGAAGAAATGGTCGCCGGGCCGGGCCTCGCCGAAGGCGAGGCCGTGGCCGGCACGCCAGGGCCATCGCCCCGCCGCTGCACGGCGTGGACATCCGTGCGACGGGCAGGCCATGCGGCCGCCACGGCAGGCGCTCCTCTTCCAGTCGCGGCGGGAGGCAGGGCGGGGGGGCGGGAGGAGGCGAGGACGGGGTGAGGGGGGGAGGGCGAGGGGGGAGAAGGGAGAAGGGGAGGGAGGAGGGCGGGACTGGGGAGGGGAAGTGGCTGGCCAGGCGCGCTCGCGCCACATTTGGCATCCTGTCCTCCGCGGACGCGTGTCGTAGCCGACTTGGAAGTCCAACAGGAAAAAGGGCCCCGTCGTGTTATGCGCAATCGGAAAAATAAGAGTTGCGTGCACATGTCAAAATCGAGTGCCCCGAACGCACATCAAAAAGTCATGGCTTCGCAACGTGAGTTTTTAGAAACGGTCTGCGCGCGCTTTTGCGAAATTCTAAACGCTTCGCGTAACCCCACCAGCCCACAGGTGACATTCTGGAGGCCATGTTTGGCCTGTGCCTTCCACGGCAGGAGGCTCACAAGGAGTTCCGCACCCAGTTCGCGGAGACGTGGGGATTCAAGCTTACGGACCTTGCCACCCTCCACACCAAACTAGCGGAGGTCATACACCACACTAGCACCTTGGCCACATACGCCCATCACCACGAGGTTGCCGGCAAGCACAATTGTCCCAAGACATGGGCAGCGATACAGACGCACAACTTCACCCAGGAGGCTCCCCTACGCGTACTGGAGACTCTGGTCCGGCCAGCCGACGTCACTCAGCTAAGCAGGGGAGGGTGCTCCATATGCCAGTTGCACGCAGCCCTGGCGGGGTCAGAGATTGGGCTGGGCAGCCCTGAAACCATGGCCGACCTCCAGTACATCGGAGGAGGGACAGCATTTTCCAACCACCGACTCGACGAGGACATCCCTGCCTCCCCGGCCCCAGGGACCCCACTGTTCCCCCCATTCGTGCGCGACGGGCGCTTCTGCAGGCAGCAGAAGGACGCCACCTACAACTGCGACGGATGCAGCAGTGTCGGACTAAGTGGTACAGCAGGCACTTGGGAAGACGACTACACGAGGGAGCTTCTAGCCCAGAACCGTGCGCAGACGTACGCGGAGGGCAAGAACTGCAGATGGCTCTGCCAGCAATGCTGGGTCAGCTCGCTGGAGACGAGAGGAATACCCCTCCCTGAACCCGACGCGACAGAGCGCAACTGCAGGAAGTCCATGCAGTGGTTACTACAGGAGCACAAGCGCAGACTGGACGAGAACCACGCTCAGTAAAGGGCCAGGACACTCCCCTCCTTGGCCCGACTCCCGCTGGGAGTTAGAGTGACACCAGTTGCTGCTGCCCCAACCCTCAAGGAGCTCGTCCTACGTACGACTCGCCAGTACCGCCCAGCCAGCGTGGGTACCACACTCCCGCCACACAAGCTCACCGACGGCAGGTTCGGTACTGAGGTGCACCTGAACAAGTGCTACTCAGCCACCTGTGACTTCTGTCCCCCTTTTTCCCCCTTGCTTGAATGGCCGCCAGGCGCACCCGCATTGGGCTGTTTCATATGGCGCGCAGAGTCGGACGCGGACTGCAATGCGGTGACAGGTCTCCCTCCGTGGGACGCGATGCCTTCACTGTGGACCAAGAAGCAGTGGAATGTCAGCTGGGCCTGCAGGAGGTGCCTGGTTCACATCTGGGACATTGCCCCTAGCGCCCTTGACCGGATACTGGACCAATGCTCGAACGACATATACCCAGATCCCCCCACCAAGAGGACAGCCACAAGCGAGACCTCAGAGGAATGGTACATCTACGACATGTCGGCGCATCTTTCCCCAAACAGCCCAGTGCCAGCCGCAAGCTCCAACCCACCCGCAGCAACGGCCGAGGGCAGCGCAGAGCTCGCTCCGCCCCCGCAGGAAGGCACAGACGGAGGCGGTGCTCGCAGCCTTTCACTACCGGCTCTCCCACCACCTATTGCACCCCCACTACCCACTCACTCCACCCGCCGTCTTGGTGGGGAGCAGTCGAGGAGCCCCGTCCGCGAGTTGGTCAAGTTCCTGATCGAATGGAGCCACTCAGTCTACTCCCTCTGGGTGGCCCACACCCAACGGTGGGGAAGGGAAGTCGTGGGAGAGGTGACAGACGAGTCGGGGTGGTCCCACGAGCACCTGGTGCAGTTCCTGCAGTCCATCTACGGGGACGATATACCTAGGAACGGGCATCCCCCTCACATCCAGCGGGACGGGCGGAGGGCGGCTGCAGCCAACGTGGTCAAGCACCTAGTGGAGAGCAGCTCGAAGTACAAGGGCATGGCGATGCTACGTTGACAAACTCGACAGCCAGAGAGGTCAATGCCCACAACGGCAGCCACTGGATACACTAACCACCTTTCTATCACAAACAAAGGACGACCTCACAGAAGGAACAATCAAGCTCCTAGCCAGCTCGCGGAAGGACGACGGAAAGACCTGCGGTGCGGAAGAGGAAGGATCCCCCAACGCTGTTTGGCTCCGTCCCCGGACGACCTCACCCGACCCCCCCCCCCGTCCAAGCTATCCCCCAGCCGCCTGCCGCACCAGGGCAGTCCAGCGGTGAGGGAGGGGAGGTTCCGTCCCCGCACAATTATGGAAGTGGCGGCGGCGACGAGGAGCTAGACTGGGACCCGTCAGAGTCAGAATTGCAGGCGCACGGAGTCCACCAAGACAGGAATGACTCCGAGGCCCGAGCCAGTCCAGCACGCCAAGTAGTCAAAGCCGACACCCCAGAGCGCAGCGACAGTGAGGCCTCTCACAGTCCGCCAGTCCTGTGGACCAAACCCCCACAGCGTGCCGAGTCCAAAGCCTGGTCGCCGTACGCCAGGGAATACTCGCGTTCCTACCAGGCCGCAATGTGCGAAGACAGGAGGCTCGACAGGAGGCTGAGGCTAGTTGAAAACAAGACAGAGCTCCGGCCGACCCCGATTCCTGAGGACGCCTCTCTCAGCCACACAGAACGCCCGCCACTGAGCCCCCCAGCCTCTTGGCAGCATCGCAGCATAGGCCGAGGAAGCGAGCCACAGAATGCATCCATCCCACCAGCACGCCCTGACGACCTCATGTGCGGTCTCCCCATGTACCTGAGCTCCATCAGCGAAGCAGATACCAACAAGGAAGAGCCAGCACAAGACAAGATCAGCCGACTGCAGAGGACGCTGGGAGGCGCCTTCAACGGGATCTGGCCCGCCTGGGTCCGTAAGTCAGTCAGCAAGCACGGGGGCCCATGGGTCAGCATCAAGTCCGACCCCAAGAGGAACTCCGTGCAGCTTTGCGAAGACTTCCTTCAGGCATGGGGCAAGGCGGGCTTCGACGCCTACAGGATGGACGACGAACACCAGCTCCGCGTAGACTGGCCAATCATTACGGACAGACATCGCAAGCAGCTACAGCGTAACACCAGGACGCACACCCACGAGGGTCCCAAGGGTGGCGGACGCCCATACCCATGGGCAGACGGCAGCAAGACGGCGCCTTGCCCCCCCTCAGTGCCCACCGACGACAGGGTACCCGCGCAATTGGCTGCCTCAAGCCAGCCCGCCGGGGAAGATCGACGGCACCCATGGAGCAAACCAAAAGAGGCGCCTGCTCCCCTCCGGTGCACACCGACGACAGGGTCGCCGAACAGACAACCCCACCCAGTGCCGCAGCTCGATGGGAGACATGGCAGGCATGGGAAGGGTGGGACCACCGCTCATGTTCGTCCACGTACTCCACCGCCATGATCTTCCAGCCGTCCAGCGCCGTGCAGCTCCGACACCAGCTCCGACTGGAGGACCAGGGAGAAACGTTCGGCCCCCAGAGGAGACGCTCAGTATGCCGACAAACGGCAGCGCGGATGGGACTCCGCCCGCAAGTGGGCCTGACGGGCCCACCCTGACGGAGCGCTGCCCCACTGCTTCTCCCCAGGCCCAGGAAGGCAGCACCTCCGTGGGAGACAGATGGAGAGGGCTACACCACTTTGTCCTGCAGCTCATCTACGGCTCAAGGCCTTTCCCCCCGAGTCATGTCAATACTACGAGTCGCCACTCAACCCGTATC